ACCAGTTTTACATGTGACTGTGGGGGGCAGGGGATGGGATGCATCTCTAAGCAATCTTATCCACTTGTAGATTCACACTTAACATGCAGGATTATTGCCTCACTACAAAGCTCTTCCTCATGCTACCCCTTTGTAATCACACTTCCCTTCTTCCACATCATCTCTCACCCTTGGCAACTATTAGTCCTTTCTCCATCTCTACAATTTTGTAATTTCTAGAATATTATGTAAATAGAATCATGCAATATATGAGCTTTTAAGATAGGCTTTTTTCACTTTGCACAATGCCCTTGAGACCCGTCCAAGTTGTTGTTGCACGTATCAATAATCTGTTCCTTTTTATTACTGAATAATATTTCATGGTGTGGGAGGTACCACAGTTTGTTTTACCCACTGGGAGATGTTTGGGTTGTTTCCATCTTTGGCTATTTCAGGTAAAGCTGCTGTGATCATCCATGCACAGGTTTTGGTGTGGACATAAGTTTTCCCTTCTCTGGAATAAATGCTCAGAAGTGCAATTGCTAGATTATATGGTAAGTATATGTTTAGTTGTTTAGGTTTTTAAGAAACTTTCAAAGCATTCTCCAGAGTGGTTGTATCATTTTACATCCTTACCAACAATACAGGAAAGATCCAGTTTAACTGCAGCTTCACCAGTATTTGGTATTGTCACTAGTTTTTATATTAGCTCTTCCAATTGGTGTGTAGTGATACTGTATCATGAACTTAGTTTGCATTTCTTTATGGCTAAGGATGTTGAACATCTCTTTGTGTGTTTATTTGCCCTCTGCATGTGTTTTGGTGAAATGTCTATTTGGTTAGTTTGCCCAGTTTTAAACAGAATTGGTTTTCAACTGCTGAGTTTTTGAGAGTTATCTATATGTTCTAAATAAGTCCTATGTCCAGTATGTGGTTTGTAAGTATTTTCTCCCAGTCTGAGGATTTTTCCTTCTCTTAACAGGATCTTTCACAGAGCAAGCCTTTAATTTAGTTTGAACCCAATTTATCAAGTTTTTAATTATTTGGGCCCCGTGTGTGTTCTAAGATACCAAAGTTTAAGGGTCACCTAGCTACAGGTTTTGAAGATTTTCTCAGACTTTCTTCCTCCTCTGAATAGCTTTTACATAGTTGTCAAAAGTCTGTCATACCTGAGTAGGCCTATTTCTGGGTTCTCTATTCTGTCCCATTGATCTATGTGTCTATCCCTTGGCCAATACCACATTTTCTTGATTATTGTAGCATATAAGTCTTAATCAAACAGAATATTATTTCAACTATGTGACATTCTGGAAAAGGTAAAATTACAGAGATGACAAAAAAAAATCAGCAGTTGCCAGGGGTTGGGGTGGGGGTGGGGTGGGAAGGGATGAAGAAGTGGAGCACAGATTTTCAGGACAGTGAAAATATTCTGTGTGATACTATACTTGTGGATACATGTCATCACACATTTGTCCTTTCCCAGAGAATGTACCACACCAAGGTGAACCCTAATGTAAACTGTGGACTTGGGGTCATAATGATGTGTCAATGTAGATCCATTAATCGTAACAAATGAATCACTCTGGGGGATGTTGGCAATGGGGGAGGCTGTGCATGAGTGGGGACAGGAGATTCATGAGAAATCTCTGTATCTTCCTCTTCATTTTGCCATAAACCTAAAACTGCTCTAAAAAAATGTTATTTTTTAAAAAGGAAATGAAACAAACATTTAGTAAAGGGGGAGTCACAGCATTTGTTCAGAAAAACAAAGGGAAGCATGGATTGAAAATTCATAATGGGTCATGAGGACAAAGATCTCTGTTTAAAAAAAAATCAGATAGAGTGATACCTCCACTTTTTCTTTTTAAAAATTATTTCAGCTATTCTAGTCCCATTGCTTTTCCATATAAATCTTAGAATAACCCACCCTTGAATCTGACAGCTTTCTTTCCACAGGCATAGCATGGGTGCATCGGGACCTGGGAGTGACAATTTTCCACAGGAACTACATGGGGCTCAAAGCTGGAGATGAGTGGTTCAGATATGGCCCTAAGGCCTGTCCACACATGCTGAAATCCCTGTCCCTCCAGGCCGCTGTGCCACACCTGGGGCTGAACTCACTCAGGCCAGGGGCAGTGAGTGAATGAACCTACTCTCAGTGGCCTGGCAAGCTCTGAGCTGCCTCACCCGTACTTTGGGGGCCTCACAAAGATACCAGGCACAGGGATCAAGACTCGTCAGTGGGCTTTGCTCATCCCAGGCAGCCTCCTCCAAGGGTCTTTTCTTAGAGGCTCTGCCCTTGGGAGATGTCACCCAGGGATGTTTGGAGGAGCCACCTGCCTTCCCTCCCCTGCAGAAGTGACAGCATCCCAGCCTCTAGAGGTCTGGGCTCCCCTGGGAGGCTTTACCTCCACCTGAAAGTAATTTCTATAAAAAGAGGCCAAGGACCTTAGAATGTAAGTTCCCAGAGGCCAGGTTAGGGCTCTTCTTGTTTTACTTGTCACTGGATCCTCAGTGACTCTAACAAGCCTGGCACTTAAGTTCTCAATATTTGCTGAATAAAGGAACAAAGTATAAAACAGTAGTGGTTACTAATAACACTGGGGACTCAAGCATCTAAGACTAGGAGGCTTTCCAGGTCCCAAAACCCCATTTCTGCTCCAGTCCTTAGAAATGGGAATATGGCAGGGATTCAGACCCTTAGTTTAATATCCTCCCTGGATAAACTCTTTTTCAGAGACCTTAGAATAGGGGCCCCGAAGCAGGGCACAAGGCTGAGCAGATGGAGTAATACTGTGAAAAGGGGGTAGATATGGTGCATGCCCACGCACTCACGCACACTCCTTCTACAACTGAGATCTGCAAAGCTGCTGTATCGACATGCCGGACTTAGTCAGCATGGCTCAGAGCACCAGAAAGCTGCAGCAATATGCATGCAGAGGGCATAAGAGCTGCCCCTTATGGGCTTGGAGCAGCAGGCACTGTGTCAGCTTGACAGCCTTTCCACAGGGAAATCCAGTGTGGGCAGAGGCCAGCCCATGGAGGTCATCAGCAACCTGTCTCCTCTCAAACCCAGTCTTGGCTAGTAGGTAATCAGACTTTTGCCATCTGATGCCAATGTTGAGAGATCTACTGATCCAGCCTCTCCTTCAGTGCTGGAGAAGAGAAAAAAAAAGGTAGCTGGGAAGAAATTAAAGTCGTGTGATCAGAAGTAAACATCCCAAGATAGCAAGCCTTGCACACCTCAGCCGGGCTTGGGGCAATGAAGGAAAACTCCTTCAGGTGTACTGATCCCCATGAGAGCTGAGGCTGGAAGCCACACAGTCCCTTTCATCTGGAATACTTGCCATCCATCACCCCTGCCCTGAGCCCAGCTCTCAGCCCTGAATGAGAATGATGCTTAACCTGTCATTTGAGTGACAAGGTCTCCAAGTTGACACCAATTGTAGACCAGGCTCCATGAGAGATTCTAAAAACAGAGGTACAGAAAGGGACCTTGGAGAAATAACTGACTCACTCTTTACTTGGAGTATATACCATGGAGGAGCCAGTGGGGGATTAGCAAAATCTCTGCAAATTAAAGGTGGGTTGGCTGGGTTTCGGAAGTTCTGTCCCTCTCCAAGCCTGGCTCGACAAACACAGAAGCCCATGCAGAAAACGTAAGCAGAGTCTGCAAATGTTTTCATTTTTCTCTCATTTTCCTTAAACAGCTAACTCCCAGAATTCTTACAAGTAGGAAAAAAGCCAAGTACAGACCCCTAAACTTTCACTTGCCATTTCTCAAAGCATTGCCCGGGATCTCTAAGGTCTTGTGCACTCAGAAGGAAAATGCACCCAGAGAACCGCCAGAAAAAATTTTATAAGTGCTCTGCATTATCTTCATTTAATCATTCTCCCCTGCCAGCACCCCACCGGAGGCTGAGAACTCCCTTCCTGCACCTCACAAGCAATGAAGCCCAGCACCAGCCCCCAACTTTGTGTCTGGTTATCCTGGAAGCTCCCCAAATCAGCCACCTTCAGGGACAGCAAGACCCTGAAAAGAGGCACCTCAGGAAAATCCACAAGCCTTGAGTGGCCAGGAAAAGCCACACACGGTAAATTCATGATCTCTAAACACATTTTGCCTCCTAGTCACTTTCTTTCAGGCTGCTGCAGTTGAAATCAAAATGTCATCTCCATCTCCACGTTGGCTGTCTTCAGCTCTTTTAGCCACAGGTTGTCAGCCTTAGGCTCTTCTGATATTCCTCCGTAGCATCAATAACACACACGTGGAGGCGCCTGTAACCTCCTCCCCAGCCCCCAAGCACGCACAAACCCTTGCATCTCTCTTCAGGAGCCAGGACCAAAGGAGAAGAGGGGAGGGCCGCCAGCGTGGGAGTGCCCAGATCAATGGATATTTGAAACTCAAACACATGGCTAGGGACCTACACTGCACGTGTTAATTACCACACATGTGCCCATAAAGGAGTCCATTAAACACAAGAGGCCCAAAGAACAGAGCACAGAAAGGACATTCCAAGGGATTAAGTGAATAGTCTGAAATTCTGACCCTCCTCCCCTCCTGGAGCACGTGCATCTGAGTAAGATAACAGTGCCTCCTCCCTCCTTCCCCCACTTCTCCCCTCGGGGCCCCACACCTGTGGACCCAGGAGCTGCACCCCAGGCCTCCTATCCCAGGCCAGATGGCTGTGACCTCTACTGCCTGGCCTCTCTCCCCCCTCCCTTCCTCCTGCTGTCTCTCCGAACCTCCTCCCCCGGGGCCTCCTCTCCCCTGCCTTTCTCCTCCTCCCCTTCAGAGGACCAAGTCCTGGCTGGCAACCAGACTCTCTGTGGTCACACAATACGCCTTTTCATTCCTCCCAGGCCAAGAGAACCGATCCCTCCACGCCCTGTCAGAGGAGCATGTTCAAAGAGGCAAGAGGCTGGGCAGAGAAAAGGCTGGGCCAGCTCCTCCCCCGCCACCCCTGCCACGCACGCACCCAGACCCTGGGCCTCTCCTCCTTTCTGCCATTACCCCTCACCCTGCACAAGGTCCAGGCCGAGTCTCTCTCTGTGGCAGGCCTCAGGGCTGCGAGCTTCAGCTTTGGGGAGGTGCCTTCTAGGAGACCCACGTGTGGGCATGAGCTCAAACAAGGGGCCTTTGTGTCTTCCCACCTGCTGCCCTCCGGAGCACATTCCATTCCTAAGTGGCAGCTGAAAGAGGGACCTCAGCCGACACAGGATATTACGAATGCCCTCTCGCACCTTGTCCCCATTCAAACCCCAGCTTCCTGGACAGGTGTGGCTTCAGGTGGCCCTCCCTCCAGGTGGCCTGAACCTGCATTGCCGTGGCAGACAAAGAGAAGAGGCTCAACACCCCCACTGATCCTCCAAAAGGCAGGAGAGAGAGGCCCCTGGGCAGAAGTCAAGTCTCCAGGGTGAGTTAGACCTGGCATCCCCTGGCCTCCGGCTTCTGCACCACATGGACAGGAAGTCTACACAACATCTGGCAGGCAGGAGCCCATGCTGGGAAGGGAAGCAAAGAGCTGGCAATTGGGCAGCTTATCTCTGAGATGAGGCTTCAGACTCTACCCCCCTGCTCCCTGCACCATCCCCGAGGCATCAGGATCCTCGCCCTCTTGCAGCTGGATCAGCAGGAGCTCACAATGACCACAGGTCTATTTCTTTTGTTATCTACAAGGTACAAAGCCACATCACCCTGGAAAGTGCTTCTCTATGCAGTTTAAGACCCCAGATCCCATGTCTGGCCTGTCTTGGTGTGGGTGTTTTATTCAGCATCATGCACTCGGTTCCCTTTGGTGGGGAAAATCTGGGTGGTCAGTTTTGGATGATTGCCAATTTTTTTTCTGTCACCAGGACCTCATGCCCTGGAGTAAAGGTGATGTTCCTAAAGACTTCAGTTGCAAAGGAAGGCAGTTCCCTCCGCCAACTCCAGTAAGTTGTAGACAGACACATGCCATTCCTTGCTGCTGACTCTGGGTCTTTGCAGAAGGAAAGTCATGCCCCTCCCCTGCCTTCCCATCCAGGAGGGAACCACCATCGTGCATGGCTGTCTCTGCCTATTCTGGGAAGCACCTAGAAAGGTACTTGCTCCCTTCTTTTCTCCCACTTACTCATTCCTGCTCATGGAAAGAGGAGCAGCCTGTCTAGACCACTGGTTCCAGGTTTTCTAGTGGATGGTGGTATCGCCATGGTCCACTTCCATCTTCCTGGAGCACCGGCATTTAGGGGCAGAATGCTCTAGACACTCGGCTCCTGCATTCAGACAGGGTGACTTTGCTTTCTCTTTGCGTCTCCATGAATAAGCACCTGCAGCAGAGTCCAGGGCTTCACCCTGGTCTTCCTGTGACTGCGCGTGTAGGATGAGCCCGTGCACGTCAGCTGGTCCTCTGCAGGCCCAGCTCACCCTGTAGACTCTTGTGGACTTGAAGTTCCCAAGGCCCAGCTTCAGGTGGGAAACCTCAAACTCAGCCAAGGCCTCCTGTCTAGGTTTTGCCTGAGAGTCTGAAGTGGGGTTCTGGATGTACAATGACACTAATTCTGGTTTGTGATGCAGCTACCAGCTTGCTGTGTGTATGTCATCCTGGAGGCAAGTAGCTTTGAGCCTCAGTGTCTTTCACACTGGAAATTATGGTCAGCATATCCCAGGGACCTATTCTGCATGTTGGCTATTCCACTAAACAGCACTGAGACAAATACCTTAATCAGGACTAGCCACATAATTTGTAGAGCCCAGTGCAAAATGAAAAAACAAGACCCTTTGTTCAGGAAAATAGTACCATTGAGAGGACCTGCATATAAAGTTTACCCTCTCTTCCACAATCTCTTTCTTGACTAGTCATGCTGTTCTAAAATTTCTATTTAATGTTGTTCTAGGCAAAGAAAAATTAAACATTTTAGCGTACTATGGAACCCCACCCCCAGCCCCATAGCATGCATCACAAAAAGCCCTATGCGATGAGATGGCAAAGATGGGCAGCAGATACACATATTGTACGCAGCTCTTCTGCTCACATGCATGCTTCATTGTCCTCTCAGACTTAACAAAACACAAGTTCAAAGACAAAATAATTAAGAATTTCAAGACAACGACTGCACAGGTTGCAAGCCCGTGAAGCCAGCCTACTCTTAGTGAGAAGAATTTGGATGTGCTGGAACAATTATTAAGGAGAATGAATCACTGGGTAAAAAATACTCAAATTCATTTCCAAAATAAGAGGGTTAGGGCAGACATGGACGTGCCTACCTTCATCATCCCTTTTGGCTTACCACTGGCTACACTGGCAGCTGACTGACTGAACCCTCCAGGAACCAAGATTCTCAGGGTCTCTACCAGCTCTGTGCCCTCACTCACCTCCCTCTGGGAGCTTGGTCCCCACCACCATAGGAGCCTTACTTACCTCCAGAGCTTCTGGGAGGAAACAGAGAATAAGAATGGAGATTTTCTGCAGGGCACTTTTAGCTTACACCCCAGGTTCCTTCCAGCTTGCCCAAGAATCCTGCTTGGACTGGCTTTAGGAGCAAACATTTAGATAAAGCATAAGACTCTACTCACCTTTCCTTCCTGAGTTACCCTGGCTCAAGGGCTTGTCAGTGACTGAACCTTGGGTAAGAGGGAAACAAAAACATAAGCCATTCAGAGTGCATCACCATTGGTTTCCTTCAAAGAGCTGGCAAAGTCTGATGCTATGAGCATATGGTTATGTGTATATATACATTTATATATTGTATACACATCTTGGGATGTTATATACAAAGTTAACTCATACATACATGTCAAGAGGGGTTTGCTTAATATCAATGTCACTGATACCACAGCACTGTGGAGATGAACCATGATTTCCTGGTTCCCTGGCAATAGCCTTGACCAGATTTTTACAAAATCCCACATCCACATAACTCTTCTGCTGAACATTCCAATAGCTGCTCCCCACCTTCACACCCCATCTCCCCACTGCCTGGCAGCTCCACTATCTGAGCCACAGCCCCTCAGTAGGGCCAACCAAAAAGAAACCCCCTCTTACTGCACATGCAGTGATTGACATCCCTTGCTGGTTAGGGCAGGAAATCGGTGATTTTCCATCTGCATTAAGTAGAAAATTGTTGGCCCAATTGAACTGAATGGGCCAAAATAGTCTGAGGCATGGAAACAATTTTCTAGACTCAGCCTGTTCCTCAAGAAGGGGGCAGTGTGTGTGTTTGACCAAATGCTCTGCCCTGCGAACACGAGGATGCCGTGTGTTCCCACCCTAGGGTTCTGACCCTGAGGCACCTGTCTTCTCGGTGAAGGCCACACAAGCCGGGCTCAGCCAGCTCATCCACAGAAGGACATCTGAGGAGGTCCCACCAACAGAAAAGAAAGGGTCCGTATTTCCCCAATCTATATCACACCTTTTCTCCCTATACTAATAGTTTTGTGAGAATTCAATTATGTTACCCTGCATGACTTGCGTCTAGCGCATTTGTTTGCTTTAAATGAAATTTTCCAGGTCATTTGCAAGGAGGGCTCATTCCTGCCCTTCCCCACACCAACCCCAATTAAGGTTTCCAGTTTCCATGTAAACCACAAATAAAGTAAACTTTCCTTTTTGGCCTGCAAACCTTGGTTTCCTAAAGCAGATACTTATTGCCCTTTCTGCTCACTTTTCCCTTTATGTAGCAGGGCCAGTAGAAATATGAATAGATTTTGTGAAAAAAGAAAAAATGTTAGCACAGCAGGACTGTTAGCCTTTGGAATTTCCCATAGGTTTTTGAAACAATGTCTTGTATTTTGCTTGCACTTAAAAACTAAAAATAAGTAAATAAAACCTCAAACACAAAGATACAGAGAAATATAAAGCAGCTGTTGGCTGGAGTTGGCCTGTTTGAATGAGGGCTGAGCCACATACTGAACTAAGGGAGCAACTCCCGAGTCCCTTACCATCTGAATGGACGTGGAAAGTGAGGTGCTTGTCTAAATCCATCATCCACAGTCGCATGAAGTTGAACTAAGCAAAATTTCTCTATGCTTGTAAGATCGGAAATAGAAAAGGACTTACTTTTTGCTCTGGACTAACCCAGTGGGTCACTATGAAGCAACGGTTCTCTAATTTGTCTGGTCATCAGAACCACCTGAGAAGCTTCATATGCATGTGGACTCAATCTAGACCTTCGGGGTCAGACTATACTAGGAGGCGCCTCAACCCCGGGGTTCCTTTTAATTCCCCAGGCATTGCTGATGACAGCCAGATCTGAGGGCCAGTGTTAATAAAGTTTCCCATTACATTACGTTGTTCATGGGCAGCAAATATATGACACAGAGGCCACCACTGCCCTCTCCTGTGCCCACGACAGACATCACTAACTGATCATCCAACTTTTGATGTTGAACTCCCATGTGGTCTTAAAATCCATCTCAGTGAAGTGCTCCCAGGACTACTAGCAACCAGAGCACACAAGCTACAAATTTATATGCCATGCTATAGGGGTTGCAGCTGGTGCTCCGGAAAGGAGCACTGAACCAGACACAGGCATACAACCCAACTGCAGCTACAGAGCAAGTGTGTTAGAGTGGAGCCCTTCCTGACCTGGAAGACGGCTCATAACCAACGCCCATCATCCAACCATCTTTCAAAGGCTCCCCATAAGACACAGAGACCAGCCGAGGGGTCTCTATCCAAACCTTTTCTTTGTTCCCGCCCCTCCCTACAGTACCTGAACATACAGGCGTTTTATTTTGCACAGAAGAGCCACTGATGGGCTTCCCATCTGGGGTGACACACCAGCAGTACCCCGTGTAAGTGTGACACTGCACCTGTGCAGGGAAGTGGGGAGGGGAAGAGAACCGTAAGTCTGGGGTCACCATGTCAACAGCATCTCCCATCCCTTTCAAAGCATCGCCAATGTGGTGAAGCGCCTTCTACCTCTCACCTGGCCTCTGTCCCCAGAGTGTCTCCTGCAGTCAGTCAATAACATTGATTATGTTTGCTGTGTAACTTCTGTGCACAACCGCAGTGATGACTTCTTACTTTTTTCTTATGACTTTTCGTGCTGAATATCTTGTCTCATACTTACACACCTCCACTGGGCTCCTCCTGTGATGGTTCTAATCAACATGTGCACATTTTTTCCCCAAGCACTGGCATACACTCCCATCCGATTATAACAAACTCTGATTGGTGAAAACTCATTTGACAAGTACAAGTTGGATGACACCATTGTTGGTAAGACGCTTCCTTAACAAGCAGAGACAAATGGCAAGCTTTTCTTCTTTCTCGAGCTTTCCCTGGCATCCATTCAGAGAGCCAGCGTGCCTGTTGGTGAGATGGCTCTCCTGAGACAAGGGCACATGTGATGGGTTTAGGCAGGAATAGGTCACTTGTGCCTGCAGGTTCTAGTTCCAGACACCCCGTTCCATCACTGTGTGATGTTCCTCAAGTCTCCTGATCCAGGAATAGTAATGAAAATGACGACTTTGCTCCATTCGGAGTAACTTTTCTTTCTCTTCCAAGAGCTGCCACTCCACCCCCTTCCTCCCACCCTACCTTACCATCCTCTTCGCAACTGAGTTCCTAAACACAAATTGAAGCATTGCTTCCCTGCTTAAAAACCCCTCAACGATTTGCCATCTGACTCAGAATAAGGATGAATCCCATCTGCATGGAGCTCCAGTCCCCCTTGATCTTCCCCCTGCGCATCTCCACAGCCTCATTTTACACCCATGTCTCCACACACGCACCCTCCATTTGGGCCACAGTGAAGACTTTGAAGCCCACAAAGATAGCCTAGTGTCTCATGATTCTAAACTTTTGTTTCCTCCAACTATTCAATGATCTGGGATACAATTCCCCAACCTATCTACAACCCACTCCTAACCCTTCGTATTCCCACCCTCTTCATGATACACCTTCTCTGCAAAGCAGTCCTAGTCTCCCCGCCTCCTCTCCCGCCTGCCCCTGCCCCTCCACACACCCTGACTCCTTAAATTCAGAGCCCTTATCACAATGAGCTTAACTACTAATCTGTCTAGTCTATCTCCTCCGCTAGACTGTGATCCCCCTAGGGCAAGGGACTGCATACTGGTTATTTCTGTATTCCAAGATTCTAGCATAATGCCTGACATTTATTGCAGGCATTTGATGAGCTGAATAAATGCATGGATTATCACATTTCCTCGATTCTCGGTCTCCATCAATTCTGAAAATGTAGCATCAATTTAAACAGCCCCACTGCATTAAATATGGACCTCAATTACAAGACGTGTGCCAACTGCAGAGATATTAAAGTGTGGAAAAAATGCTGGGATCAAGGATATACTGAAATCAAGGATAGACAGTCCCAGCATATAAATTGAATGGTAAGGTATACAAGGGATATTGAGGTAAAAGAGAGGTCTGATGGCCTGGGTGAAATCCAGAAATTACCAGTGAGACAGAGAAGCTGCAGAAAGCCTTCTGTTCTTGTGTGGATACCAAACACTGTAATTTTCCCCAGTTGTTCACTATGAACCTACCCACAGAAGTCAGGATCAGAACCAGAGGGAGGGCATCTAGTCCCACCAGTTACAAACAAAGCACATGCCTCAGCTCTTTGAACCCCATCTATAAAATGGGGATAGCAGCGCCAAATGTAGGGGGCTCTGGTGAGGAAACAGTGCGAGTCCAGTGCCAGGCAAGGGGTGATGGCTGGACACAGGGTGGTCTCGGCAGTGACTGCTCTCAGCTGCGTCAGGAACACTTTGTAAGTAGGCTTCCTCCTGGGCCAGAGCCCCCCACCCCCACTGCCACCCCAGTAACCTCCAGAGGATCGGGTGGAAAACACTGCTGGGAACTTGGATTTTACCCCTTCAGATTCTGTCAGCCCTGCATGGGGATAGTTCCTGGAGACAATTCCTCACCAGTGGCAGCAGTTTAATGGGGCCTGACTGACTGCTTTCTCTTCCTTGGCTGACAGTCACCTCTGGGGAAACCTGTCCCTGGGCTGGGTGGCCACTCCCAGACCCCATGGCACCCATGGCCAAGGTCGGCCTCCCTCTCCACGAGAACTGTCCCCCCAAGCCCATCACCAGAGGCTGTGTCTCTGGCCCTGAGCTGCCTGCTAGAGCTGCGTGCTATGGTCAAGCAGGCTGGGAGGACAGCTGCACAGTGCCCCCCACCCCTACCCCCAAGGCATGCAGAGTCCCAGCCAGGGCTACTAAGGACAGAACGAAAAGCATGAGTGAGAGGCTAAGCCCAAAGCTTTGTTTCGGGGGATATAATCTGACCTCTGGGCTCTGAGTCCCAAGGGCCACATGCTCACTGAGTGTGCCCTTTGTATCACTGTGGGCACATGGACGTTGCCTCTCAGCCAGGCCCACAGGCCCCAACACAGCCCTTTCTCCCCGGGGCCCTCAGCATTTCCCTCAGACCAGAATCCAGATTACAAAATCCTCAGGCTGGAAACTGCCTCCAAATCCTAGAAAACTGGAATCAAATGAGAAATTGTGGCCACGTCCCTCTAAGGCCTGGGGTACATAGTAACAGGCACACCTGCCCCAGATGAGCTGCAAGGGAGGGGGCAGCAAAGAGACACAGAGCACCCAGCATAGCTCAGCTGCAGAAAGTGGCCAGCAAGGTGTGTCTCCCTTTTGCTGAAGGAGCCCTGAGTGAATCAGCCCACGATTCTCAATTGAGAGGTTGTTTGTAAGTTGTCTTAGGGAGTTTTCAAGATGTCTTCTTGGAAAAAAAAGATGCAGTTACCCGGAGACAGAAAGCAGTGGTCATGAAATCAGACTGCAGCCCGCCTTCCTTAACTGACCAGCTCCACCACTTAAGTCAACCACTTATCTTTCCAAATCTCTGTAGCCTTGGAAAGGTTCTTAATCAAACCAAGCCTCCTACTGTGTCTATTTCCAAAGGGGAGATAATAATACTTGCCACACAGACTCACAGAACCCAAGAATGGACTAACAGTTACCAAAGGGAAAGGAACTGAGGAGGATGGGTGGGAAGGGGGGGATAAGGGGAAAAAGGGTCATTATGATTAGCATACATAATGTGTGGGTGGGGGTACGGGGAAGGCAGTATAGCACAGAGAAGACAAGCAGTGATTCCATAGCATCTTACTTACACTGATGGACAGTGACTGTAATGGGATGTGTGGTGGGGACTTGATAATGGGGGGAATCTAGTAACCACTTTGTTGTTCATGTGAGTGTATATTAATGATGCAAAAAAGAAAAAAAGAAAATAATAATAATAATACTCGCCACACTCAGTTGTTGAGAAGATTAAATTAAATAATGTAAATAAAGCACTTAGCTCACATGGTAAGTGCCCAGTTAAGTTTAACTATTTCTTTTTATTATCATTGTGTTATGTTTCAGCAAACTATTTGTACACTCATAAAGGATGCAGCCAGATTCTCAGATGGGAACCAAAACCAGTCCTGACCAGTCCCAGGGGACAGGGCAGTCTGAACTCAGCAGTCTGAAAAGATGTTAGTGGAGGAAGGGGAGTCTGTTTCCAAGGGGAGTATAGAAATGGTTCTATTATTCTCAGAAGAGCCAAGGCTTCTTGCAGAAAAGAAAATCAGGATCTAAAGTCTATATAGAATTGATGGTTTGTATATACATGATCAAGAGGTAAATTCTACCTTGTTTAGCTTCCTCCCTTGCAAACTTATTTATTCTTTCAAATTAATAAGTAATCCCCTTTGTTTTACCTCTCCCACCCCACAGCCTCAAATTAATCAACTCTCAGACTTAATCTACAGGAAAAGCACAGGCCAGCAGAACTGACAAGGTAATGAGCCATTTCTAGTCACTCACTATGCAGTTCTCAAAACTCAGGGTTGTTCCAGCCCCAAAGGTACAGATACAAACCATGACATTTGTTCTCATCTGTCCCACACCAGAGCATCTTAGGAAGGCTGAAATATCAATTGATGGGTCTTCCTTAAGAGACAAAAAGTGTTCGTACATCAGCCTAAATAAAGTTACTCTCTGCTTAATTATATTGTTGAATATAACTGGTATTCCTTAAAGGTACTTTAAAACAGTGTGTTCTTAGGTAAGTAAATTTCATCTCTGACTCACGTACTTAAATATTTTTGGCAAGAAGCCCTTTGCATAAACAGCCCAATGGTCTATTTCAGGTCAACCTCTGTCCAAAGTAAGACAAATATGAAATTATTTTCAGCCTGTTAATCTTCAACATTAGCCCAACTCCTGGACATCTGGAAGAATGTGGGAGGCTAGCACTCGCAGCAAATGTGGCTGAGTAACTGACGAGTACAGAAAACAGAAAAAACCAGCTCACAGGATAAAGCAGATCGTAGACTGAGTAGAAAGAAAGCACCACGGAAAACAGACGAGACAAATGGGCCGTCCATACACACAACTATCACCCACAGGGCACGTGCCCAAAATGGGGAACCCCACCCTCTACTCTCACAGCAGCTTTTCAGTCACCGTCAGTGATCTCTGCACTATCTCATTCGGTCCTCAGAGTGGCCATGTGTGCAAGCTCACTTTAGGAGAGGCCCTCAAAGCAGAGGTTATTCTTCAAATGTCACGGTTACTCCATAACAGCATGGGAATGTCTCCAAGCTCTCATAAAATGTCAGAACTGACAAAAATGGAAAAACCCTTAGAGCTCACCAGTCTAACCCATGTGTTTTACAAATGAGGAAACTGAGGCCCAGAGACAGGGAGGTAGCCTGACTGCCGGTACCTCATCCTGGCAGATGGAAGCCCCGCAGACCTGGGAGGGAGGAAGAGAAAGGTGTAGTTCCTTGTGCTGGTGTCCGAGGGACATGACTGGGTCACCTTGTTGT